GGAATCAAGAACAATAGCTACTTCTTTGGAACTTGGAAATAAAAAACTTCCTAGATACACATGTGGCCTATATGTGAATCCCGATACATGATTTCTAATTTGGAATGTAAGTTAAATACATATTTGGTCTATCATTATTTTATAATTTCTTTATATATGATTTACGTTATTGTTTGTTTGCTTGGTTATAACAAAATTTTTATTTTTTTTATAATCTTTATAACTTGGCATTTGTATTTCACAAGTTATAAATCTAGGCACTCATCCAAATGAAGAAGAAAATTAGCAGGAGCTTGAACCAAAAAGAAGGGGTAGAAAGCCAAGCAATCGCTCGTCAAAACGAAAGGAAGACCAAGGAAGAATCAACACTAAATAAATGTTTTCTCGCGATGGAAATGGAAATGGCTTATGTATTTTGAATAGTTAATGATATGTAATGGATCCATTTTTTGATTTTATTAATGACAATTATGTGTAACGGATGATGTTTGACTAATTTTGTTGTTAATGAATCCAAATTTAGTTTTGTTAGTGTCTTGTTCTATTTCAAAGAATTGTTAATGTTTATAGAGTCTTTGCTAGTTGAATAATAGTTCCTTAATTTTGGTTTGTCTTGCACATTTGTTCTTCAATTCTAGATAATTAAAGTAATCTCTATAGTTGAAGAATTGTTCATGTTTAGAATTTAGTGATAGTTGAATGATTGTTATTCAATTTTAGTGAATTTGGTGCCATTTTTGAAAAATTATTTATCTTGCACATTTGTTCTTTAATTCAAAATAATTAAAGTAATCTCCAAAATTAAAGATGAATTCATTCAACTTTGGAGAATTGTTCAACAAATTTATGTAGAATTAAAGTTGTTTTCAATTCGGAGAATTGAATCAAAATTTACAAAATTGAAAAACAATAATTCTATAAAATTGATTTTTTTTTCAATTCTAGAGAATTGTTCTTCAATTCTCTAGAATTGAAGATGAATACATTCAAATCTAGAGAATTGAAGCAAATTTTTGTAGAATTGATTAACAATTTTAAATAATTGGAGTTTAATTCTGCAGATTTGTAGTTGTTCTTTAGTTCTAGAGAATTTTTCTTTAATTGTCTAGAATTGAAGATGAATACATTTAAGTTTGGAGAATTGAAGCAAGCTTCTACTGAATTAATGAACAATAATTTTGCAGATTTGAAGTTTTAATTCAGTTTTATAGAATATTCTTCAATTCTCCAAAATTGAAGATGAATACATTCAAATCTAGAGAATTGAAGAAAAATTTAGAGAATTGAGGCAAACTTCTAAAGAATTGATGAACAACAATTATGTAGAATTGAAGAACAACTTCAAATCTATAGAATTGAACTTCAATTCTATAAAACTCGTTGTTCATTAATTCGAGTAGAGTTGTTCTTCAATTATCTAGAATTGAAGATGAATTCATTTAATTCTTAAGAATTATTCAATAATTATCTAGAATTGAAGAACATTTTATAGAATTAAAGAAAAATTTCAAATCCGTAGAATTGTTCATCATCAATTCGAGGAGAATTGTTCTTTAAAAAAAAAAACTTAAACACAACTTCTTTTTTGTTTTGATAAGCTAAGAATAAACAAACACAAAAGTTGACGATCAATTGAACATTTTCATTAACATTATACCAAAATTTACACCAACTTCAACACAACATTAAACTTAAACCATGCAAATTTAATATCAACATTTCATAATTCTTACATCCAAAATTTACACTAGTACATATATTGTTAGTTGTTGTAAATTACTTAGAACATATTTAAAAAACCCTACAAATTTAACAAAATCTACATTAACCTATTTCCAATGACATTTTATTTAACCAATAGAAACTATACTAACATAGCAATATTAAAACTAGACAACTAACATAATTGTTACATCTATAATGTTCTTTTGCTTTATCTTCATTACCATTACGAATCTTCTCTTTGTAATCATTACCGAGTGCCAATCTTCTCTCTTAGAGCCAAATTTTCTCTAAATAAATGCTTATTCTCAGCAGCTAGTATCTTTTCGAGCATACTTCAAAGCATTAATTACATTTCTTGCTCTTCCTCTCGGTATTGGATCTTGAAGCCGAAAGTAATTGCATTTTGACTTGCCATCTTTTGCATTAAATTTGGAACATGCAAAGAACCTTATTCTTGGATTATTATCACTCCGCAAAGTTATTAAGGATCCGGGAGTCCGTAATGATTCATAGTCTCTCATGGGACAATCCTTTAGATAATGATACTCGGAGTTTTTGAATGAATAATAAAGATATGTTTTCCACATTACATGGTTTTGATGATTTTGAAGACGAAGAAGAAGAAGAAGAGGAAGAAGAAGAAGAATAATGGGAAGCCATGAAATATCACAATGACGAGACTAAATTTGAGGAAGATATCAAAAAATTAAAAATGCCTTAATTCTATCCCCAATTCAATCGGATAGAGAAGACACACAAAACCTTAAGATTATCCCTTTCAATTATGGAAGGCTTCCTCCCCTCTCTCTCTTTCTCTTTTGTGTTTGGGTGTATAATGGAGGTAGCTCTCTCACTCATACGCTCGCTTTTGTTTTCAATTGCGAAGTCTCTCTTTCTCTCTCTCTCTCCTCGAATGTTGCAAACTTTTCAATTGTAGGAGTCTTTGTCTCTCTCTCTCTCGAATGTTGCAAAGAAAGGTTAGATTAGGGATATAAGGCAACGACTAGTCATTTTCCTTATATCCATAATCTAACAAATTAGTTTCGAGTTTAACGCTAAAAATTTGAGAAAAAAATTAACAACGGTAATGATCAATTGCGTTGATCATTACATTTAACGCCAATTGAGAAAATTAGATCAATGTTACCCAATCTCTAATATTTTGGGATCCAAATTATACAATTTGATACAATGGGTCCGAAATTATCAAATGGCAATAGATTGGAGGGAAAATTGCCATTAAACCCGCATTTTGTCAAAGAAGAGTCGTAAGGACGTATTACTAAGCTAAAATAATAATTAGGTGTTATAATTGCAAAAATTCATAATTGAATGATTTATTTTGAATCTTCACAATAAACGAGCAACTCGATTAGTATTAGTTATTAACTATGGGCTTTTTATGGTCAATGAACATTTTTCTTTAGTGAATTGGATCATTTGATTCTCTTAAATTGAATTTCATGCACTTCACGATTTACTATTCACATAACCTCTTCATTAATGATTTATTTATGCATATGGATTTTGTCAAAGAAGAGCCTTAAAGATATCTTACTAAGCTAAAATTATAATTAGGTGGTATAATTGCCGGGAAAGTTTGGTTATCTTTCTTTTCTTTTCTTCTTCTTCTTCTTCTTCTTCTTCCTTTTTTTTTTTTTTTTTTTTTACAAAAGTTCTTGGATTATGATGTTGATTTCAAGTCAGCTATAACTATAATTTTGCAATTATAGTACCTTAGTATCATTGCTATAGCAATTTAGTCCATCTTATTAGGTCTTCTTAAGAAAGACTAACAACATATGTGGAACCAAATCTATCCAAAATCGAATCTAATAGTGAATTCACTTGTGTTGATGTTAACTTTGAAGTGGTAGAATTTGAATTGATACAATTAATTTTTTTTTATCTATCTTTGAAGTGCTAATTTTATCATTTTGTTTTTGTTATTCATCAACAAGTGATAGAGTTTAAGAAAAAAGGTTGATTTGTTCTTTAAAAAGCAAAAATAACCGTTACAACTAGTTTAAATAGAGGGATACATCAAATACAATGTCAAATCATACAATTAAAACAAATCCAAGATAAATTGGTTGAAATATTTACTATTATAGAAAAATAAATAATTCAAATTGTAATCGACAGAATTTTCAAATACAAGAATACCAAAAAAAAAAAAAAAAAAAAACCTTCAAGAAATAGCTCTTATAAAAAAAGTTAATATATAAAAGTGTTTGATAAAATTGTGTAATTGAATAAACATTAGTTACTTTTTTTTATCCAAAAATCCCCTAAACATCATTCAATACTTTTTTTTTTTTTAAATAATGATTTCAATTTGATTTAAACAACCATGTTTGGAGTGTCGGTTAGAATAAAAGCTATTCTCACGACAATCTTATTTGAATGAAATTCAATTCTTGTTAAATTATGTGTTTCCAAACAACTTATGTTAATAAAATTTTAATTTTTCTTCCATTTTATAATTTTAAAATCAAGTTTATATCATGATTTTAAATTTTTAAAAAAGTTTGTATTGTAATAATTAAATTTAAAATCAACACAACATCCATCGATATTTTAATAATCTGAATGATATTTTTTTCTAATAAAACAAAATATGGTGAGTTTTATACTATAGCTCATATAATCTTTTCATCAATCATTTCAATACTTCTCTCTCTCTCTTTTTTTTTCTTTTTCTTTTTTATCATTAAATCGTTGAACTAGAAGTTTATGCATATGCATTTTGTCAAAGAAGAGTCTTAAGAATATCTTACTAAGATAAAATAATAATTAGGTGGTATAGTTGTAAGAATTCATAATTGAATGATTCATTTTGAAGCTTCACAATAGACAAGGAACTGAGTAGTTATTAGCTACAAGCTTTTTAGGAACACGTATCTTTATTGAATTGGATCATTTGATTCTCTTAAATTAAATTTCGTGCACTTTATGATTTACTATTCGCATAACCTCTTCATCAATGATTTATTTATATATATGGATTTTGTTAAAGAAGAGCCTTAAAGATTCTTACTAAACTAAAATGATAATTAGGTGGCATAACGGCAATAATTCATAATCGAATGATTTATTTTAAATCTTTACAATAGATGAGGAACTGATTAGTTATTAGCTACAGACTTTTTAAGGTCAACGAAGATGTGTCTTTATTGAATTTGATTATTTAATCCTCGTAAATTGAATCATGTTCATTTCAAAATATTCAAAAATTTTCAAATTTTATAATTAAAAGAACTCGTCCCGCCAAAATGGCAATTGGCCACCTTAGATCTCCGATCTCGCCTCCGCCGTCAACGGTGGAACTCCACTCAAAGTTCACAAAGCTAGTCTATCGCCACGAGCAATTGAAGATCTCATATCAGCAGCTGAACTCTCAAGTCAACTCCGATTTGCTTCAAGTAAATCGTTTTGAACACTATCAGTTTCTCCCTTTGCTTCTTCGATTTTGTAACTAAATTGCATTGATTTTGTAGGCAGCAGAACTGTTTGCCCCTTTGGCGATTCCGTTGACGAAACTTGTTGGTTTAAAAACTGTGGAAATGGTTAATGACGGACAGTTCAGTACAATTATAATCGATGATGATATTAATCACGTAATCAAATCCTGTATTCGTGCTTTAATTTATTATTATTATTTTTTTATCATTTTTAGGCTATTGATTTTTTAATCGATTAGTTAAATCTGTTTGGCAAAGGAATGGAGCAGTTTCTGGTGGAGCCAGAAATCGAAATGTTCAGATTAGTGCATTTAAGATATAAATTTTTTATTTTTTGAACGTTAAGATTTACCTATTTATTAGATTATAATTTTTTCAATCCTTTTGCCCATTACTGTGTGAATCTTCTGGGCGTGCAAACGCATAATATAGAAGAAAATTCTCCCATGGAGCTAGTGGCAAATTTGACTGTTGGGATTCGCCTTGTATTTACACTCAATCAATATTCTATGAATGCAGGGAGAAAATTTTTCTGCACATAACTAGCAAAGAACTCATAAAGAAACGAAAGATGCATTTTACACAATTTGTCAAACTCCTTAGACAAATTGAAACCCATGTTAATTCGAGCCAAGCTGAAATCCTCCAGAACCTTGATAACCACCACGTCTTCCTCAAAACATTCTTTCAGAAATCCATATGTTTAGTGAAAACCATGACACTGTTGTCATCGCAGTAAATCTTCTCCAAGCCATATTCCAAAAATGTAACTACAGTGCTTGGATCAGTAAGGGATGGTGTAGTGGACCCAATACAGGGATTATGACAACAGATGTGTAATCATATGGTGGAATATGTTAAGGGCCTCAAGGATGATATGAAGAATGGAACGTGCATGCGCTTATTGGCCATGGTGGATGAGATGGAAAAAAAGATGAAAGATGTCAGGGTTGAGTTGGAGGATGCAAGGAAGAAAGTGAGACTGGCTGAAGAGGGGAAGATTGAAGCTGTATGCAAGCTGAATGAAACCATAGAAAGAGTGAGGAAAATGAAGGAACAACTGAGCTCCCTTCCTGAAGCCAAAAGAGGGCTTATAAAATCTTCATTTTCCCAAAAGGTACATTCGCTTGACTCATCCATCCTTTATTCTCGAGCATTTGATTTGAATTGATTAAGTCACATGTATGAACATGGAAGCATTGCTTTCGCGTTTTGACCATCGAGCACTGATATGGTCTAGAAGCTGGCACACAGAATCAGCAAAAGTTGGCACACACGGAGTCTTTCACTTGTGTAAAGATGTAGTGGTTTTTCTAGAAAACGTAATGAGGGAGGTGCCGGCTTTAGCCACTCCAACAGACCACTCTGCAGCTACTTCGTTTAACAAGGATGGTAAAAATTTATTATTATTATTTTTTTCTACTGCAACCATAGTTTATGATTTTAAATGAGAAGGAAAACGAAGTCCCAGCTGGGTGTCTTTACAAATACACACACACAACATGGGAGCATGCTTTATTTCTTCTTTGACATAATACTGAAATGAATCAGTGAGGAGTTAAGAAATTCTAAGAGTGATAAAATTAGTTGTTTCCATCAGCTGTTCATTCTAGCAACCAGTTTTTGTCTCCTTAAAACAAAAGGTTTGACTCCCCAGTCTCAGCTTGAAATCTGTTGGAATAATCACAGAGACCATTAAACGTGCCTTGGTATCTGACACACGATCAAAGCTCTTGTATGTGGGTGTCATTGTTCCGTGGTGTCACTCCCAACTCCAAATATTCATGTGCAGTAGGGTCAACTTAACTCGAGGAAAAACGTTTGAAAGTAACTCACTTGAAAACATTTTCTTTTCTTTTAGCTATTTGACGGTTTTGCTGGGACATTAAGCATCTGGATGGAGTCTTGCTTGTGAGAATTGTCGGAAACAGTTGATGATAATATCTCTATTTTCCATCCCTGTGAAGTTCTCAGGCCAGGAAGAAAACCAAGCAAACATCAAGCACCAGAGCTATTGTGGGAGATATTGAAGAAGAAAACATCAAGTACCAGAGAGCCCTTTGAGACGTGAAGTGCTATAGTATTTTGGTTCCACTAAGGAGCACCAGAACTCCAAAGGGGTGAGGCCACTGTTCTATCACAGGCCAGCTAGGAGGGCTGAGTCCACAAACTCCATTCTTGAATGCTCTGATTCCTTTGGGCTCGTCACACCTTCAGCTAGGATTTTGCTAGTTCTCATTGTCAGCGGGAGTTTTTCTATGATCGTAACCTTTCAACAGGCTTGCGTTACGGTGCCATTTCACTATTTAGACTCAAAATGCATGATTAAATAGCAAAATAGCTCTTGGCTTGCAGAATAAAAGTGCACTCTATGGTGACCCTCACAGTCACAGCCATAGGAACACACTGTGATTTACTGAAAAGAAATTAATGAAGTGTGATTCAATTTCCTTTTTATTACAACTGTTCAATACTCTTAGATCTGCACATTGTCCGAAAGTCCATCTCTTACATTTTAAGCTTTTGATGGCTAGTGTTTCATATGAAAAACATTCATTGATGGTAGAGAGGCAGTTTGTTCAGTTGGAGAACCAAGCCTACAGAACAAGGTAATAAGGTAATTTGTTTCTTGAAACCCATGCACCTGGAACTATATGTTGCCTTCCTTCAGTCTCCAACCCTCTGTGAGTTTATGTAGATACATACAGTCTTGAATACGATTTGGAGGGGTAATTGTTTATAACTCTATGAGTGTTTTATGTTCATAATACTGAAAAAATTGACTTTTGATGTAGTGATGCTTCTCGTTTATATATCAACGGAGCACATAAAAGTGGAGAATAAAGGGCTGGAATATATATTGAACCAAACCCAATAACATAACATGTGATTAGACGGAATGTTAATATCTTGGGAATCCAATCCTGGGATGTTGATGGATTTTCTCCAACTTGGTACTTATCAAGAGAGCCATTGATCGGACTCATTGAAAACATGAGATAAAAGAAAAAATATAAGTCCTCAAAAAAGGGTTTCATTTTCTTCCCCTCATTTTTTTTTTTTAAGTGCATGATAGCAACGTTAATTTTCCTCCAATTGTATACTTTACATCCTAACTTTTCATATAGAATTCCATAATCGACACCTACCTGATTCACAAGGACAATCAAACAATATTTTGCTGTATTTTGAGAAAGTTTGATACCCTAAATATTCTAGACAAGATAAGATTTTAAAAGAAAGTTTATTTTAATTAGTCCTATGCTTGATGATGCAGATGGTAGCTTTTCATTATGAGGGTAAAGAGAAGGGATTTAAAATTTCAAAACGGATATGGTTTGATTGAAAATTAATGCTGCTTACTTTAGCCAAGGTAATACATAACTTTGTATTGCATCACCTATCTGGATGACGTTACAACAGAAGAATTTGCAGTGTCACTATCTATCTGCATGCCTAATTCTTAGCGGCTTTTAAAGGCTGCTTGGAATTGGAAGGGACAGTTAGAAGAGAATGGTAAGAGTTTTTTCTTACTGACAGATAACATTATATGTGGTTTGGCAACTGCTGGACAGGTTCGTCTAGACATCTGGAGAGGTCAGATGCTTGTGCTTGTCAATTTAAAACCAAACTAGATATCCTTGATGTTCTCCAAATTTCGATATGGGTGCAGGGCTAGCTAGTCTGATTTATTCTTTCAGCTATGGATTCCATGTCTAGAATGTAAAGGTTTGTAGTAGCCTCTTGTTGTTTCCAGATTTCAAGAGACATGTTTGAGTTTTAGTATCCATCAAGGTTGAATTCCCATTAGTCATTCTCTTGACTTTTGAAATAGGGAATGAGTCAGTTGATTATCTATCTATATTATTCTCCAAAAGTTGACAACTATGCATTGCTTTTTCCAGTACTGGTTTTACAGAAAACCAACAGTAGAAAAAATGTTTAAGTGGAAACTGAAAAGTAAGGTGCATCATATCTGATAGGTATCTCTTGTGACTTTGGAGGGTATTGATTAAGATTTGGTTATCTGCGCATGGGATAATGTAACAAGATAAGAAAATGTTGCTGTTGTACGGAGGATTCCACCTGAATTCAACGCCAAGTGGGCAAACCGATCTATATAAACCCCATGAAGGCCTATATTTTGGTATAGCCACTGAGAATAAGATTTCATGTATACTACTACAATGGTTGGAGAAGCTCCCAATCTCCCTCAGAGGCTTCCAATATCTCAGTCTAAATAAGATGATAATTATTGATATCTATGTAAAAAATAGTAGAATCTTAATTCTACTATCCCTTAATTTTAATTCAAGTTGTTCAAAATATATATAAAAAATAAATTTAGTTTTAATTTATGTACCAATATATATAAAATAAGTGAGAAAAAAAAATCCCAAAAGTAGAGTCAAATACTCATTTAACACCTAAGTAAAAAAGAAAGGCAATAATCGATGGTATAAAATGATTTTTGGCCTAAAAAATCAATGTGATGAGCAACAAAGTTGTACGTACATGTTCACCACTATTCTACACTCCATTTTCAACCATTTCTCCTCATTCTAATCCCAACAAAACCACTCCAACTACATCTTTAAATACTATTTGAACCTCATAAACTCATTAAATTTAGTTTTTGAAATTCGAAAACCAAGTTTTGGTTAATAACAAATTCAGTCCACTCGGTAGCATTTTTTTGGTCATTCCATTAAACAAAATCATTATTAATACAAATACAATTTTTTTTAAAAAAAAAAAAAAAAAAAAAAAAAAAAAACAGAAGGAAAAAAAGAATCAGTTGTGTTCTCCATTGCAACTGCTATTTTGTCTTTACATATATACTCTCCCATCCCATGATATTCACCCCTTTGGTAACTATTTTTAATTAGAAAAAATATATTTGTTTTTGATAGATTTTATCATTCTTTGTGAAGTGATTAAAATTTAAATTTTCAAAAATCTAAAGAACAAAAGAAAATTATCTTTTGTGTTATGGACAAATATTACATGATAGAAGGAATACATAAAGTAGCCTTAGAGCAAGTTGTATTTGTTTTCAAATTCAGAAGACAAAATTGCTTTGTCACATACAAGTACGTTTTTAAAATCCAAAGTAATCACGTTTATTATAAAAAAATCAATGAATAAATAAAATCCAAATATATGTTTGGTATTGTTATCGTTTCATGATTTTATTTTATTTTTTTAAAAAACTATTGTTCATAATTTCCATTATTTCCATTATCTTATTAAGTTTTAGCATTTGTTTTAATGAACAAAGTTATTAGTTATTCAATTATTATCTCTATTTTCTGCTGTATAAAAATTATTTTGAAAATTTTAAAAGCAGAAACTAATAAGTTTTTGGTTGTTAAACCGAACCAAACTAAGCAGTTCAACCAGATTAATTGAGAACCGCCTCAGTTGTTGGTTTGATTTTAGCAAAAAACCACAAAAATAGAAACCCGGAACAAATAAGCCAACCTGTCCAGTTAGATCACCTCAAACAGATCAACACAAAACTCTCTGGCCGGTTCAACCGATTTAAAAAGGAGATGGCCATGCCATGTGCCATATCTCAAAAATTTACAATTTGCCTTATATTCTGGAGTTGCAAAGGCAAGCACACTTGGCCCATCTCTCTAACAATTTAGAAGTGACTATCAAAATTGATAAGACACTCATCTATTCATACATTTTTTTTTTGGTCATTGGGTGATATTGTTTCTACACAATAGAAATAACCTCCTATTTGCACCTTTTTATTTACCTATTTTTTCCAAACTTCATCTCGCACATCTAGTGATGATTCTATTTACCTATTTTTCCAAACTTCATCTTGGAGAGCTAGTGATGGTGCTTCATTCCTTCATTTTCTATTGAATAATGACTGCAAACATACTCTCATCTTTTTTTTTTTTTTCCATCTTTTCTTTTTCTTGTTAATATTTAATAATCTAGACCAACCAAATTGCAATTAATATTTTTTTAGTCATTACTTCTTAATAGTTGTACCAAGTACAAGTGTACAACCACTACCGAAAAAAACTTAAGTAGCGACAATTTTAAGCAATATGTAGCTATTTTTTGTCATACGATATTTTTACTAATGATTTTTAAATCATCACGGATTCGATTAAATTAGACCATTTTTAGCAACAATTTCCCAAAAACCATTGCTAAAAAACTAACTATTTTGGGAATTAGGGATGGTTTCAACTAAACCCCTCACTAATTTAAAAAAAAATGTTTTTTGCAATGGTTTTTTAGAAACTGTAGCTAAAAACCCTTTTTTCGAGTGATTTTAGTGACGGTTTGTGATAAACCATTGCTAAAATCATTTAGCCGAATTACGGAACATATTGGGTTTTAGCGACGGCTAATTTTGTTACCGTTGGAGAGAAATGGTATTTCTTAATAAAAACTAATCTTTAGCAACCATTTTTAGTAATGGTTTTCAAAATACCATCTCTAAAAAGCTAATTATTTTGGGAATTAGCGAGGGTTTTAAATAAATCGTTGCTAATTCCAAAAAAAATAGGTTTCTTGCGAAATTTTTTTTTAATTGTCACCAAAAACCTTTTTTTTTCCGAATGATTTTAGCAATGTAACAAACCGTTGCTAAAATCATTAAGCCAAAAATCCAAAAAATATGAGGTTTTAGCGATGGTTTTTTTGGTGAAAATCGTTGTTGAACATCGATATTAGCGATGGTTTTCATAAACCATAGCTAATTTTGTTACTCGTTGGAGGGAAACTAAATTTTTGAATAAAAAATAATCTTTAGCAAAGGTTTTAAATTGTTGCTAAAAATTAAAATCCCTAAATACCTATTGATCGAAATTTTTTCCCATTTCTTCATCTTCTCTTCTTCTTTTTAGCAACGACGACTCCATCCCCTTTCCCATTTCTCCTCCAATCATGACTAGAACTCCCAAAAAAGCTCCCATTTTCTCTTTTTTTCTTCTTCCCCTCCATTTCTTCCCTTTTTCTTCTTCTTTTTCTTCTTCTTTCTCTCCTCTTCTCCTCCTCCTCTTCTCCATGAATAGTGCACATGAAGCAACTCCTCCT